CTTCCAGTGCGTCTTTCTTTCGAGTCTCGCTCCTTTTCTCTACACCCTCTTCACGGTGGATGCTCTTTCTGTCGGGAAAATAGGCCCCAAGCGCCAGGTTCGCGACGCAGGTACAGCGGCAGCTGGTGGACGTATAAGAAGTCCAATTCGCGCTGAGACAGTGCCAGTCCGAGACGAAACGGGGAATATGTCCTTTTGGCGATGGCGGCGCAAGCAGAGAAGCGGCGAGGCAGTTTAGTCCTCAATTAGGGATCCAGCACAGTAATTGTATGAGGAGAAGGAAAAGTGCAAACAAACGGAGTTGGAGTGCTCGGCAGCGTGAGCAGAGACAGAGGCAGAGGCAGAGGAGAGGTCCCGGGATGGGTCTCTTGTCCACGAGTCACGACTCGACGGTCCCACCAGCGTGACCGGCAGCCCTCCCCTCCAGCTGGCAAGGCCTCGGCGGGAGAGATGCATGAGTGAAGGATCTCCCGCTCTGCGGCTGCACGGTACTCAGAGAGGCACATCTCTCAGCCCGTCCGTGGTCGGTGGTTGGAAGAAGGCTGTCCCCGCCACCGCCTGTCCCTGCCTTGTCCCTGCCTGTCCATGTCTGTCGCGTGGCCAATCATGGTGGTGAAAAGGCCTTGGACCAATCCCCGCTTCCCTGGATGCGCCCACACTCTGCGCGGGCTTGGCAGGTCTGGCCAACGACGATGCGAGAATTTCGACGTCGTCCCTGGTTTGGCAGTCCTGTCCTCCTAATTTAGACGGCAATAAAGAGATTCGGGTGACGGGTCCAGGACTCAATCCTCAAGGACCAACCCACTGCGGCTACGGCGAGCGAGCGGGTGGTACGGGAATCGCGGTACGTACTTACACACTGCCCTCCCAACCAGTCTGCTTCGCAACCGACTCTTCTCCATGCCGAGTGGGACAGTGGACCACCTCGTGGCGGGAGGATGGCTCAGAATGCCAATGTCGGCGGCGTCCATGCAAGTGCTCAAGAAGTGCTTCTGCCTGACGGGCCACGGTTCGTATCATTGAGAATGCTGTCGAATTCGGTTGACGAGAGCAACGAGTCGTCTTGGGGACAAGCCTCTGCAATCCATCAACGTGCCACAATATCAGGCGATGGGTGTAATGGCCATAATAGGGCTCGAGGGCATGGGGTCACGACGAGATCTGCCGTGTCTTCCGCATGGGCGAGCTGTGTGATGATGATAGTGAACAGAGCATGTCGCAGCATGTGGCAGTGATTTGGAAGAGTCCACAATCACATCTTCCAAATCCTCCACATCGTCCCTGCCCCGCCTCGTGGTGGAAGCCCTGGGTGGGTTATCAGATGGCGGGTCGGCTCCGAGACATATGCTGCATTGCTGCGAAATGGCTTCCAGAAACATGCCAATCACAGAGGATGCGCAAGTCGGCCGCGTGCCATCTCGCGCCGGCCAGTTCTAATTCGAGCATGTGTCGCTTCGGTGAGAGGTGGCCGACGTGATTAGATTCATTAGACGGCGTCTGACGGCTGGACAGTAGACTCGCTCGAGCAGTGTGCGGAACAAGAGCTCCAGGTGAAGGCGGCCAGGGGTCCGCACAAGCCCCGCAGCTCTACGCGCCCAGGGTGCATCATCCGCATCCCTCACTCAATCCCTCCTGGGCCCGTCCACCTGCCAAGCCATTCTGGTCCTCCACCACTCGACGCCCATCTTGCATGTCGACGGCTCATTGTTCTCTTGTTCAGGCTCGTCACCCTCCACTGCGCTGCATGAATCAGTTTGCGACCCGTTTCGAAAAGCCCATTGCTTCCTCCTCTCCCCCCCGCCCCTGCTCTCCCTTCTTCAAGCACTTGCCGTTGCTGCTTTGCCTCCTTCATACACTTGTTCTTCCGCCACTCTGCCTCTGACCTCGAAATAATTCTTTCTGCGCCTCCTCATACTCCTGTCAAACGTCGACCCGCACGCTTTCGGTGCGCCTGATCTCGATTGAACACATACGGCGGCGATCGGTGGTGATACATATACTAGCTGGAGGAACTTGTTACCAAGAGCTGGAAGTCAAGGCTATGCATATATTGGCGAGTACAGCGGGCAGGTCCGCATAGTTCAGCAATCCAGACGAACATACTCGAGTCTATCTCTCTACCTCCGGGGCACCTCCACCATGGGCCGATTGATCAAGAACCACTTGGCCCGACTGATAGTCCTCACCGCCGCGGCTTGTATGTACTCTCCTGAAGACGGGGAGAAACATGTACTGACATTCCCCAGATCAAGTTGCCGCTGCCATTGAAGGATTCTTCTGGCCCAAAATCTTCTGGGACTTTTTGACTTCCAACCTCGATGGTGCCGTCAAACCTGTTCCTGTCCTCCAAATCATAAACCTAGTCTGCGGACTGTTCGGTCTTGCCTATGAATGGCCCCTGGGGTTCGTCGCCGGATCCTCCATTCATAGGAGTATCGAGGCACGACTCATCATCTTCCCCCTGAGCGCTCTGGCGGCCGCACTACTATACCAGGCCACGAATGCTGCCTTGTACTATCTGATTGCGGAGGTGATATATTTCTGGGCGTACAGCGAAGGCGAGGTAAGTTGTAGCCATTGATTAGACATGGTATCATTTGCTGACATGGTGTCTTTCTAGATTGTGTGCAAAGAAGCGTGGACACTTCCTACGAGAGCCGAACGACGGGAACCTCCATCTCTGCGTGTCTGACCTCGAGCATGTTAATATTCTGGTGGCTTGGACTTGAACTGGTTTGGTTTGGTTTGGTGGTGCATTGCGTCTTGCTGGATTCGGGTCTGCATAGCGTGGAGTTACGACGCAAAATGCCGCATTCTGATCGGCTTATGATACCATCTATTTCTCTCCTCCTGTGTAGACGAAAGATGAATGTAAATATTTCATCATCTGCCTTTTCCTAACTCTCGCCGTATCAGACTGATCATGGAAGTCAGACCAAGTTGGAATTGGTCATTGGCGTCCTCCACCATTGTCGAGATCTCAGCCTCGTGTCCCCTTTTCCAAACGGGAATCTCCGCTTGGGAAACTTGAGCTGACATTTCTCAAAAAGCCATCTCTTTCACCAACACACCCCTGCACAGCTCCACTCCTCTCGGCAGTTCCACCTCCCTATACCAAAAGAATCTCGCATCAAGCCCGCAGTCTCGGCTATCCAGCTTGTCCCACCCCCAAATCTCAAACTTTCTTTGTTCTCGATGAGCTCGGTTCAGTCGGTTGTCCTCCGCAGCACTTTACCGTGCCACATAGTCCAGTTGCAGCGTGGACAGCAAGCAACATCGCACCGACAGCCACGCTCGGTGCGGCTGTAGCCCTACGGGACCGTGGCGAGTCTGGATTCTATGTTCTGGCGTACGGTGGGTAGAAGGCTTGGGTGGTGGGTTTGAAGGCCCGCCGACTACTATATATCCGTATGTGGCAGTGCACTGTACCTATGCTTCTAGATATAGAAAGCGCTTCTGCGAGCGGGGACTCCGAAGGGAGCATATTCAAAAAAGCCTGCGGCGAAGTCATGTAGGTTTGAAGGCCCTCCGCAGTAGTTGCTCCCAAACCTTGTCGTCACGTAACGCGCAAGGCGGCTAGAAAGGTTGTACCATTGGGTCCTCGCGTGGAACCGGTTTCAGCGTTCAGCTGCTCTGGGAGACGGGTCCGAGGTTGGACAGATCTCCCATGTCTTTGTCCAGACTGGTGGAACGATCTTGCTAGATCTGTGTTTTGTGTGTTTGGGGGTGTGAAAGGGAGCTTTGAGCTCGGTGGCGATGTCATCCTAGGTGGGCTCGATCACCGCAAAACGGCTCATTTTGAAGACCTTTTTCTTGGTGTCGAAATGCGATTGATGGAGATTGCATTGTACAGCACACAGTCTCAGGGCAGAGCTAGAGAGTGTAAAACGATCATGCTCTATTCAGGAAGTCTGTAACCTGTGGGGGTTGACTGCTTTGCAGACATATAGATGAGTGGCAACAAATATGAAATGAGGTGGTATGAGAAAGCTCTCTCCTAGGAGAGAATCTAACAGTTGACTACCTAGCCAGGCAAAATACTCATTTATCGATTTTGTGCATAGCCTTGAGGAAGTGCTCGACAGCGACCGAACCGAAAATGATTGACACCTTTCAACTTCGGCACTAACAACAAGCTGTGGTGTTTGAATTTACACGCAAATTGACTTAGACCCCTATCTGGGAATGAGAAGATATGCCGTGTTTTGCTCCAGAGGAGCGGTTGAAGTTATCGCGGTGACTGGCACTGTATAGCAGAGGGTACGACTCGACCAACAATATTCCCTTGTTAACGTTTAGTAGATAAATATTGCAAACAACTAACTTAGGACTGAACTTAGAAGATATTGATTTGTTTCGATGCGCAATTGAGGGGATAGCTGTTTCTTTGATGTCTGTTAGCTGGAGCAACCTCAGTGCCTGGTGTCACCATTAAAATAGAGAGAAGCGGGAAGATTGTGCGGCAAACTGGGACAACGACGTATTTTTGATCTTTCTCAGACAGTTGAATCTTCGAGTAGCGTTCTTTCTCAATTTTTCTACTCGCCACGTTGGCTGTCCAGTTGATTTCAATATGTCCCCAGGGAAATATCTCAGGATGCGGCGTAGAAGAGTACTCATATCCACGCCTATTGATACAACCTGCGGTTTTCATAGGACGTCTCAGGGTTCTTCCTACCTACTGATGATTCTCCAATAGACGTGTGGAATAATCGCAACAGCCACTGGTCACATATCACGTTCCCGTAACTCCAGTGGTGTGCTAAAAACACAATATAGAACTGGAAGGAGCGTCGCGGTAGAGCTCTAGGTACCTTAACGCCGAGCCCGACTAACACCACTTCACTCAAATGGCAACAGTCGCCTGAATTGCGGGCAGTCAGCAGTCATTTCTAGTGCAATAGATGCGGCTTGATTTCCTGATGCTTGCATGTTAACAATAAACGCTTCTAGGGCCTTCAAAAAATGCCCAAAAATGCAAAAAATAAACCGCAAAAATCGGGTCTCGCCGGGACTCGAACCCGGGACCTCTCGCAATTGAGCTTAGAGTGTACCCTAAGCGAGAACTAATGCAGGTTAGCAGGTTGGACGAAGATCGGGAGCTGGCAGTACGTACTCATACCACTAGACCACGAGACCATGTTGAGCATTGAAAGATTTAGCGGTTTCATATACAACGTAGCGGTGGTACTCGTAACCAGTAGGAGTGACTCACAGCAACTTGACGCACTTTCATTGCTCGAGAATTGATGAAATGGCAAATGTGTCACTCGGGGTCGATTGTGCGGGGTCTCGGTAACGACACGGCCAAAAAAAACCATTTTTTCCGTTCTCCACGTGTCATTTTGGGCCAGGATCTACTCGTAGAGTACACCGCCTGATAGACTGTCAGTCTTTTAAAGAAAAGCACCAGAAATTGCAAATATATCTCCAAAGGGGCCTTTGCGGTCCAGTAAACGGCGGCTCGAAATCTACATGACCATCGGATATCGACTCGTTCTTCTGCTAAAAAAAAAACCTCCCGAGGTCGGCAAGTTCGTAGCCATCCAGCTCAGGTATGTACTTCAAAACAAAACCGACGCTCAATTACCACTCGATGGAGAATTTCCCTTTTCGAGAGATATTTCCAACTTCGCCATGTTTTCATTTCGCCAGAAATGACCAGTAAAGCTATGCCCTAACAGTCGCCGGGATTTCGGCTCGTCATCGGTTGGTTTCTGTCGGTAACTATTCAACCACAAGTCACGTGTATTACAATACATGGTGATCCTGGTGAGAGCACCCAGCACTTGCCACGTCTCTCTCCTAGTCCTTTGTAGATACACTTCGATAGTCCCTCCTTTGGAAAAGAATCAAGACAACCAACACGAATCCAAAGACAAACAGAGGCTCCACTGTCCACCATCGACAGCGGCGAGCTTTGTGTCAAGTGATTCGCGTGTGTCTAGCTATATCTACTTCTATGCATAGAAAGTATTCCCGACAGTTTCCCATGATATTTTGCGCTTTGACATTTTGGTGGTGGACTTAGAGTCTTTACTCTCCTGATATTCCCCTTCTCGGTCGCAATTCTGCGTTCAAGAAAGATATTAACAATTTGCAACGTCCACTAATTGGCCCACGCACGCTACTAGTAGTGGAATTTTTTAAGGTACCGCCAAAGAGATGCCGTGATATGTTTCCTGGGGGAAAAAAAACACAGCTAACAGCTCCTTATTCAAATCAATCGTCGAGTGCAAGAGCCCGAAACGCACTCCTGGAGGGCCGTCAAGGAAGAACTCGGGAAACAACTGTCGAGGGAATACGAGATTGTTTTACTATTGATATCTGCCCCAAATATACTTCAAATTCGTATATCGAAACTGAGGGAAGGGATGGTTGTAACAAAGTTACCCAACGACACCGAGCTGCTTGATCGCTCTCAACCTTATTTGGACTTCACAAGACCCTACCACTCACTCGACGAAAGAACCGAAATCAGAGTCCAGATACGCCGACATACTGAGCAGCGATCTCTTCAATCCCGACTATGATAAGGGTACACAATGGAAAGATTGCGGGGGAAAAAGAAGCCAAGTATGGGAAAGAGGAAGCTAGTTATGGACAAAGACGTTCGAAGAGGACATGAAAGAAAGTTTGACACTTTTTTTTCAGGCTAATAACCTCCTAGATGAAGATTGATCTGACTCGGAGTTACGTACTTCACACGCCACCATTAATAACGGAGCAATGTACACGAAATCATGAATCGATTTATTCTTAGCAACCATAGCCAACGTCCTTTTTCAATACCATTTCCCGTTGTTGAAGCACTCCTGTCGCCATCAAACGGATGGTTGCAGTCATCCGAACGCTCAGGTCATATTTACCCCTTATCCCGTTTAAGTGTCACCTTCAAAATCCTCATCAGCTCCATACTCGGTTACAATCCACTGACAGAATTTCTCCCAGGATTGGATCCATTCTTTGAGCTTCTCAGCCCTGACCCCCTTCCCCACAGCTCCCATCTTAATCTCATGTACCCACTCCTTACTTGTGTAGTCCTCAAATGCCGCCCACCGCACGCTGTTTTCCGCCAAAGACCCAAGACCAGCCAGGCCCAGGTTATCCCAACCTTGTAAAGCCTGCCAGAAGTCGTGTGTCATCCCACTAACGCCCTGTCCGAGGAGACCTGGATCGTCGTTGCACAGTGACACCGGCACACCTCGAGCCAAAAGGGCTGGGAGAGGATGGGCCAGGATAGAACTCGTCAAACGCAAAACTTCATTCGACACCGGACAGCTCTCAATGAGAATCTTCTTCTCCTTGATCATATCAATGAGAAGGGGATGCTTGAAAAGGGAGAAGCCATGGCCAATTCGACGGGTTCCCAGCAGGACAGCATCGAATAGGTTTTCATCAGTTGTGCTTCCATCACCCAATGTTTCGCCGGCATGGAAAAAGAAAGGGATGTCGACACCTTCTTCCATGCAGCGCTTTTTGAACCAGAAAAGCTCCGGAACAAGGTCCTGCAGGGGCCGACCAAGGTCTTCTTGGCCGACGAGATCGTAACCTGCTATGAGATCTGGAAAGGCCTTTTTCAGTTCGATGCACGCCTTCATGTCTGAAAATGCATTAGCAAGCTTCATCCGCAGATAGCACTAGTACGCACCACTGATGATAGCCCTTTTCTCTAATATTCGAAGCGAAGTCCATATCATTCGGCCACCCCAAAAGTCTTTCCCCTCTTCCGACGACTTGAATTTTTCGAGTTCCTCCCGTATCACTTGGAACAGACCAGAAAAATCCTTGTCGTATTCTTCGGCTCCTTCTTTCATGAAAGGCTGGACGAATGTCGCCCTCATGTCAACCCACTGGACACCATCTTCGAGCAGCTGCCCAAACATCTTTTGAAGGAAAATACGGAACACTGGCTCGTACGTTATGAGAGAGCCAATGACGAGAAAGCAAGAGGAAAACTTCCGCCACACTTCATTCAAACCTTCATGGTGACTGATGGATTCATCAGGGGTGATAGTAGACCGAGAAACCACCCATTTGATGAAGCCTTCACGCCCTCCATTCGGGAAAGTGTCCGCTGCGGTCACCATAGAGACAGGTTTGTCGGTTTCATAAGATGATGACCAGATCGAGGAGGCTGTGGTTGCTGCGGTCGACTTTTGGTATGAGAAGGTGAAGCCAGACTTGAGCCGATCCTGGTCAGAGACAAGTGGCACTGGGGATTGACAGTGAATCCCCTCGATTTTGAAAGCTTCGCGGATGAGAAATTCCGGCTCTACCATGGCCTGCAAATGGCAATGGAGTAGAGCACCCTTTGGCATTCGCCGAACAATCTTCCATAGTTTGCTCTTCTCCATCCGCTCTTTCGCCAACATGAACATCATCCCTGGGAAGACATCGACATCTTTGCCTCCAAGGCTGTCCTCGTACTCTCTCGTCCAAAGGGTCTGCTGCTCTTCGAATCGGATTTGATCAACGATGGCACATGCCTCTGCCGCGGTGGGAGATAGATTCTCACGGAACACTCGGTCTTGCGATAAATCATTAGATAGATTCTTAGAGTACAGGCGTCTCACAAACCGCTCCTCTGCTTCTTTTCTTGGGCTACCAAAGCATCACGGCCTTCCAGCCAATTTTGGATAAAGTTGTCCTCCATGGAGGGGACTCCCTCCGCTGCCTCCCAGGACGCATCGTCTTCCGCAGTTGGACGACTCATTGTGGCATGAGATTGTATGTAGTAGCGAAGATAGCAGTCCAGATATGGTGAAGAAAAGATCTTTCGATCTTATATAGACGGTACTTGGTCTTCTTTTCCCCTTCTGGCAGCTCAAAGAATCCCGGGTGTCATCCTTGAAAGGGCGTGGTTGCGGGTGCCTTGGTGGCGGGGCAAACCACAAAACCCCCGGCCGCAGCCCGCGCCCGCGTCACGAGCAGCTCCTCAACCTAGATGGCCCGCATCAAGTCACGTCGACCTCTCAAACACCTCTCATGAGGCCTTGCCTCCCGACAAACCACTCCTCTCCTCCCCCGAGCCCTCTCCAGATGTCCCCGTTTGACGTTTAACGTTGTTCGGCCGCTACTTGGCCGTGTCAAAGACGTTAAGAACATCGAACACCCCCCCACAAACCCCACGACTCCTCCATATTATACATGCGAGCTCCCCGCAAATACCTCAGGACGCGTACCCGACCGAGACTTCGGCTTCCTGAATCCCTCCATCCGTGAGAAGATGTTGACATAGGCTTTTGCAGCACACATCCCAGGTCACTGGCCACGAGCACCAACCTCCCACAAACCCGCAACCTTTCTACTGTTCGCCAACTTCAAGCTCGCAGTCCCGAACCTCCCACCATGGCTTCAAGCTGGGTGCCTCCGTACATCAAGAAGCGCATTCTGAAGTATGCCATCACGTACGGTGGCTTCATCGATACCAATACGCTCGACTTGGATCAGCTGGACATTGCATTTGGGAAGAAAAGCACCGTTGAATTTCGAGACGTGGACTTTGTGATCAAAGTATGGCCTTTCCTCCTCACGTAGTCCAGGACCAGCATACTAATCCGGCCTCACAGAAACTTTCCACGGTACTGCACCTGCCCGAACGATTCGAGCTTACAAAAGCCCGCATAAAATGCCTACGTTTGACGCTTCCCGTGGACTTTTACAAGAGTAGCATAGTGGTCGAGATAGACGGAGTGGAGGCTCATGCCCGGTTTATACAAGAGGATGTAATAATCAAGACAAACCCGAAGGGTGCCAGCGCTCAGGGACGGTCGCATAAATCATCCAGGACAAGATCGCCACCACCACCAACTGGAGATGGAGACGCTGGTGAAGATGATCACATTCCAACGACAAAGGAGCTCGCAAAGTCCTTTCTCACCGACGAGCCTCCTGAAGAGAGGAAAGAGTTGGAGGCTGCTCTGAAGAACCAGTCGCAGTACCTGCGCGAGTCGGACATGTGGAGTGATGATGAAGAGGAGGACTCTGGAACCGGCCAGGGACTGACTCTTCCTGGCTTTGTTACGAAAATTATCCAGGGGATGGTTGACCGTCTGGAGGTCACTGTCAGCAAGCTTGATCTGCAAATCGACGCTGCGATGTCTCCGGAAGAGCTGTCTGAAATGGGCCGGAGTGCC